CAGTAGCAGTAGCAGTAGTAGTAGTCGTAGTCGTCGTAGTCGTAGTCGTAGTAGTCGTCGTCGTGGTAGTAGTCGTAGTAGTAGTCGTCGTCGTAGTAGTAGTAGTAGTAGTAGCAGCAGCAGCAGCACTGCAGCAGCAGTAGCAGTAGAAATAGTAGCAGCAATAGAAACAGTAGTAGTAGTAGTAGTAGTAGTAGTCGTCGTCGTCGTTGTAGTAGTAGTAGTAGCTAGTAGTAGTAGCTAGTAGTAGTAGTAGTTATTAGTAGTAGTTAGTAGTAGTTAGTAGTAGTTAGTAGTAGTAGTAGTAGTAGTAGTAGTAGTAGTCGTAGTCTTTGGCAATAGTAGCATAGTAGTAGTCAGTAGTAGTAGTCGTCGTCGTAGTAGTACCGGAGCTGCGTCCAGCTTTAGTTCCACGACTGCGGACATTTATCAGCGACTTTAGTTTCGGCAGTTGAGGTGATACCCCTCCACCGTGCACAATACCCGTGACTCGTCGCCATCTGGCACAGCTGCAACCAAACTACGATCCAGTCAACACCAGCCCAGGACTGTTAAACAACATATTTGGAACAACAGCCGTCTACCTTTGAAGCCTCCCGTCGCCCGAATCCCAAAAAACACCTTCCGCGCCAGGAGCGGGCAGGCCGTGGGGTGTGACAGACGGGAACTCCTTAGTGATGGTGCTGCGGAGGCTGAGACTTTGTGCCACCTACCCAGTGCGGGCATGACGTTCTTGAACACGATTGCCACGATGGGGGCATCAGAGGGAAGTTGGTGCTGCTTAGCTGTCACAACGAGCATGCTCACAGACGCACGAGAAGCATGTCAAGCATGGTTCCGATGTGCTTGCACGTTGCCAAACCTTGCGAGCACCTCTACAAAGAAACAAACAAAACAGAATCATACGCACGCCATGGACATGTATTGACTACTGCTAATCTGATGCCAACCACAAATTTGTGGTTCTGGTTGTATCTAGCTGTACGAGTACCACACCGTCGTCTTGCTGCTGCGGCTACTGTATCTGGTGTCCTCACCCAGCCTAGCAGAATCGTCCACAGCACCAAGCTGAGGGCCGAGTCTTGACCATTAACGGAAAGCAGTTGTGTGGCCCCAGCAGTATCGGATTCCGTCCTCTTGCGACTTGAAGCAGCTCTGATATCCGTGCAGAAAGCATGAGTGCAGTAAGTTCGCGTGACATCTGCTATTCCAGCAAGCAACTTTGCTAAGCATATTTGTTAGCTCTTGTTAGTTAAAAGACGTCCACTGCTTGTTAGTTCCTGAGTTCCTGTATGTCACATCGCGATCTTACATCATGACATCATGTGATGCAAGCTCGTGGCGCTTGTGGCTTTATGGTTCAAAAGCATTCCAAACATCCAACCCGAAAGCTGCTTTCAAGGGTGTGACCTCGAAGCCAACATCTACAGCCATGGACGATTGAAGCTCCTAAACTCCAAACCTAAACGCAACACAATACACACCATGCGAGAACAGGGTGCTTTGACATCAAACGTTTGAGTCACGCAAAGCGTCCGAGACGGGTCGTACGCTGGGTCGCTGGCGCTCGGCTTCACGTTCCTCTGGATGGAGACACCCGAAGCTCGTTCGGTGCACGGCTTGACTTTCAGCGTCGAATGTCGATATTTGGCTCTGAGGCTCCCGGCTTCACAGGGTGCGCTTCGCACATCAGAAATAGGGCTTGTCCCAACCGCTTTTCTACATATAGCACATTCTGAAAGATGAATTGTGCATTGAGGTTCCAAGGTGAGGAGGTTTTCAGCCTCTGTAATGAAAGGCTCCGACCGGTACTGGGACGGCAAGGAAAGGCAAATAAAGGTAAACCTGGTCTTTCCAGCTTCTATCAAACACCCGGCCGACTACTAAAATACACTTCTCGGATCTTCTCGATTTATTCATCGGAGTCTCTTCGAACGGTTGCAAAACTCCACAGCCTGCATGTTCAAATTGCTCATGTATATACCAGTAGGGTAGCTTGCTTTTTGCTTGTGCCTGTCGTCACCTCCTGGCACAGTGCGAACCGTTAATGGAAGTATGCATTACGAACATGCCCTGTCTGCTTTCACTCTTCTGCAGCTGACGACTCAAACCTCGAACTGTGGATTCCTCCTCTGATTCTTAGGATGCTTGGAGCTCAAACTCTCGTCCCAAGATTTCACTGGCCAGCCTACAAGCACTAGCTCATTCTCACACCTGTAGCTGCAGCTGTGTTGACCAGATTTTGAGCACTCGTATTGTTTGGGCTGATTTGCACAACATTCACAAAAAAGTCGGTTGCCCATACCCCGTCAGACACATGAGGGAGAAGTTGGGCCCAAGGGCCCAAGGCGATCATGCATTGGCCCAGCGGCTACCTGACGGTCAACGAACCTCTGCAGCCGGCTGTCGTCCAAACCAGCAACCTGCCACAAAAGTGCTGGGCACATCGCAGGTCTGGAGTTTGAGGTTGCACGGGTTCAGTATCCCAGTTAGGAAGCCCTCATGTTCACCCACATGTGAGCAGCATAAGGCATTGCGCAGATGATCTCTAACCCCATCAGCCATGGATCTCACCGTCGTGACTGCCTCGCAAGTGACTGCCTCGCAACTGCTACATTAACCCCTGCATGCATGTGACTGCCATCCTTGCTTTTGCATGGCCTGGTGTAGGGAGCCGGACCTGCAATCACCCCGCGTTAGGCGCCCAAAACCAGCTCTGTGCAGGAATCCAACCGCTACAGGAACAGCTCGGAAGCCAACCTCGAATATTGGAACAACAGCTTAAAACTCTTTATGAGCCTCAATAATCACACAAACTCCCGGCCTGTTCCCCGTCGCTACTATCCTCATCGTCGGTTAAGGCTTGCTCGGGCTCCTGCCCGGCCTGGCTCGCCTCGGCAAGAAATTTGGAAGCCTGGCAAAGCCCTGCAGGCTTCGGGAATAAAACTTCGTAGTTTAGGGAGCGATGTCGGCTGCAAAGGTTGGCCGTTAGATCCAGCTTACATGTCAGTTCTTGCGCTACGTAGAGCCTGTCATTCAGGTATAGAGCACTTCGGCGAGTTCAAGCTCCAAGCTCAGATCAGACACACCCGCAACCTCACGCAGCCTCGCATGCCTCAACCCTTCGGAAAGCTCTGGCTGCCTTGTGGAAACACGCAATGGGAGTATGATACCTTGTACCAAGATCGGGAACGGTGTCCCTTTCATATCCCACGAAGCCAGCTCTGAAAGCGATTTCAGATGCATCTGCCATACCAAAACACCTTGATGTTGTGTCCAACCGCTGCTGAGTTGCGTGGGACCCATCGTCTGAGGGATTGTGGAGCGACTCTGCGGCTTCCGCATGGTCTACGGGTGCCGAGGAAGCAGCAGCCTCCTGGTCTTGTTCTTCGCTGCCCCAGAGATCCTCTCCTGCCACAAGCTTCTGCCAAGCCTCTTCTGGTTCGATGCGCAGCGCGTCCGACAAACCCCAGTGCTGATTGTGAATCTGGTCCCAGCTCAGGTTGGACTTGAGACCTGACTTTCGCATCGCATCCTGCCAACATTGACATTCGCTCGACTCTTGCTAAGTCTTGCTATCTCGCTCTCCGCTCTAAAAGCACAGAGGCAAACATATTATACACACTCAAATCTATATACATGCCAGTTTCGTCCTTGGATTGGGGTGTCCCCTATTGTGTTACACTTCTGTTTTGCATTTCAAACGTCTCGCGGCATCGCACAGTCGTTAAGAAGTGGTTCCGGAGAACATGCAAGACGTTTTGAAATGCTGACGGTCGCTCTAGGCCTGAGGTTTAAGCTTCGAGTAACTGTCCAATGTTGGGGCTTTCGGGCTTCGGGTCCAAGGAAAACTACTGAGACAGTTTACGAGCGGCCACGGGCCCGTCTAGGCCACTCGGCGCTACAGTTTAGGTATCGTTCTCGTATCGCTCTGTCCAATGTGGGGACGTCGTCTACTTTCCAGAACTTCGTCTCGAAAACGAAACCCTTACTTTACTAAACCCCAAACTCCCGAAACCCTCTCTCTTGAAGGAAACAAGGAGCTAAGGTTATAATGGCAACATTGTTGTGTGCAGGGTATCGTTTTCAGGGCGGGTCACGTCAGTTTGCAATCTTCGACTTGCTTTAAAACCAGTATAGGGTAATTTTGACCCTATCTCCTGTATAAAACCGACTTACGATAAATTTGACCACATGCATCTGATATGTACTGTGTGTAAATCTACGAAACACACGTGTGCAGTTCACAGGCCAACGTCAGGCTGCAGAAGAAAAGAGCAAAAAGAGCATGGACATGGAACAAAAAACAAATCCCAAACCTGCATCGACACGGATCTAAGTTGAAATCTACATTATGTGTGAGCAGCCCCGAAAACCGCGATAAGTTCGCAGAATCACTTCGGTCGTGGCTTTGCTTTCGTGTGACTGCGCATGAACAGCTCATAGACCGCCCATATCATCTCACCGGAAGAAGCACGATTCACGTAAGCTTCATAAGCACACGCGATATCGGAGAGAGGCCTGGTTAGGTGCCACACGTTATCATGTTGCATACTGGACCCCGTCTCCTTGGTGCAGAGCCTTGTCTTCACAGTTGGCATCATACAGGCGCGTAGCATACTCAAAAGCTTAAAAGTTTTGCAAGACTGTTAGCTGGAAGGTCCTGGCTCTCAAGCACTGCTCGTGCAAAAAACAAAAATCACATGATACCCATCTGAAAATTCGAAAATCGAGGAATTGCTCGGAACGCGCTCCTCAACGGCTGCACTGACGTTCACCCCTTCTTGTAGTCTGGCGACGCGCTGCGTCGCTTTCACCTGCTTTGCAATGGCAAGAAGAGATCTCGCTGTCTCTTTTCTGATAGTCTTCAAGTCGTCCTTCCGCATGTTTTCGGCTTCCGGACAGATGTGAGAAAGCTCAGAGAATAGAGCATCCACGGGTTCGGAATGGTGGCTTTCAATGACATAGGCAGTGTAGATCTTGGACTGCACGTTCAGAGCCACTGCAGGTTGACGCTTTCCGGCAGACCTTGCGCATTCAGAGGTCTCTAGCAGGCTCTAGCACACCCCACCCAGAATCCAACAGCGCAGCTCACATCCTAAAAAACCCAAAATCAACTTGTCGTTGACCAGCTTAAGCTGAAACATATTTGCATAATTCGAGCAGGCGGCCGAATAAACCCGGCGAGGAAAGGGTAGACGACCGGTGCATTCATGCGAGCAACGACAACTTCTTCCCGGTCACTCACCATGATTGTGTTTGCTTCATCTTCTACCAGCGCCGCCACTCCGCATGTCTCCAGTCTGCTTGCCGGCAATGCAACCACTTCCTGCACCAGCAGAGACTCCTCGCGCTTGTGGGCAGCATAGATGCAAGCCACCTTCATTGCAATCGCCAGTCGCCACGCCACCCTGATAACTTTCCTGGTCGCATCTGGCATGTTCTTGTTTTGGGCTTCGAACTTCAGCAAAGCACTTCGGACCTGAGCGACTGCAGAACTTGCAAGGGAGGGTGAACATGGCTCCAACGGCTTTCGCCCTAGTCACATAGATGATCATAGATGCAGTAAGGTCCCAGCGCCGCCCAGAATGATTGCTCGAGCAAGCTTTGCTTCAAGGGCATTGTGCGGGGTGACTTCGGGCAAGATGCTCCGGAACGCACACCATGTCTTCCATCCTTGGGCAACTGCAGGGTTCTACACAATGCAGCTCTGGCTGGCATGGCCGCGAGTTGCTGAGGTCAGAGCTTCGGAGTCCAAGGCAACGCCAACCCACAGCAATGCGGCCTAAGGTGAACGGAGTAATTACCGCTTTGCTCGAACACTTTCAGTTTCGCCATTTCCTGAAAGCACAAACCTCAACCTTGATTGTCCATTGTCTACCTGCTTTCACGGCATCGAACTTCTTCAAACTTGCAACATCATCGAACATAGAAGGCAAGCTGCTCTCTTCATTGGCACTGGGAAGCATCGCCGCAAAGTTCTGCGCTTCTTCCCACCAGCTTGAAGCATCTGCTGCCACATACTCAACGGCACTTGGCTTTCGAAACCGCTTTGACTGCGTGTAGCATATCCGTAGATTTCGGGCTTGCTCGACGAAGTTTTGCAGAGAAGCATCGGTCTCTTCACCATCCTCGCACGACTGAAGTCTTCAAATGTTACAATGCCGATGAAAAAGAACGTGCAATGGACAAAACAGTCCCACAGCTGCATCTAACTTGCGAACCCATTTTGGTGTCTAAGCTGAAATAACAACAGACCCTACAGTGGAGTGCCTCGAGAACCTGGCATGGAAAGCTTAGAACCTCCAAACTATTTCTCGTGAGAGCCGAAAATCGGGTGCTATATCCTTTAGAGTGTAAAGCCAGCCCGGGGCTGGATTCCAGGGGTGGTTGCCCCTGAGATTTCGGCTTGGGTCAAGGCATTCCCTAGCCGTTCTGCCTCGAGTTGGGTGCTGCCTCACTTGCGCGGTGCTGCTTCAGTTCGCGGGCTGCGCGCTGAAGCAGCACAATGAAATACAAGTGGATCGATGATTGAGGTGGCAAGCAGTCAAGATGCATGTGATGGGTGTGGTTGGAAAAGGTCTGCGCTTTGGGAAGCAACGTGCTAGGCCAAATTGTGATGCCAAATGCATGCTGCCTCAGTTTGGGTACCGCTTCAGTTTTGGGTGCTGCCTCGGCGCGTGGTCTGCGAGCTGAGGCATCACGCTGTAATTGAGGTGGAACGATGGTTGAGGTGTAACGGGCAGGGAAAGCCTTGACTGGGCTGCGATACGATTGAGCCAGGTAACTTTTATAGGGCATACGATCTCTGTTCTATTTGCATACGATTTCGTTGCGACTTGGATACGGCGTGGACAGGCTCGCTCATGGTTGAGAAACGGTTCGATTGCGAGTTTGCTACGACTCTGAAATAAGCGTTTTTGAAGCCATAAGGGAATCGTTTTGAGACCGTATCGAGATCATAGCGAAATTTCGACACGGTTTCCACTCGCTCGGACCAACTGCACCCACCTCCTGGCCATGCACGACCTCACGCGACAGCAAACAGCAAACAACCCTGAACCCCGTGTAACCAACCCGCACCCGGATCGTAATGACATGAAGTCCCCATGATGTCCCATGGATAGATTTGTCTCGCATGACGTGGCCAACAAACAATCCTACACAACATCGTAAGGGGAGTCGGTTTGCTTCGTCGCGCAGTTTCGCACATGTTCATGCACCCCTTCGGCGCAGGGCTAAGTACGAATCTTATGCACTGTGAGCACCGATGCTGAAAAATGAAGAATTCAAGCAGATTCGCTGGGAATTTCAGCCCAGTTTGAATCTACCGAGCTTGCATGGAATCCCTCTCCCGATACTTGAGCCAAGACTTGGAAGAAAACACGCGGTAACTCCACCAAAGACTTCCATACTACGAGCCATCCTGATCAGCTTGCACTTGGTCATGGTCGTCGGCTGTCTGGCCTGATGAGGACGGACGATAGGCTGAGAAGTATTTGGCGCCGAAGGAACTCTTCAATCGTTCGCTTCTATGATATGGGAAGGTCACCGCGATAGGGGAGAAACGGCTTGCCCCTAAGCGGCTAATTACTAGCACGACCGCAGCACCCCAAACCCTGAACCCTAAAAGTTTGTTGCCAATGGCCTCGGTTCTCCACCGGCGGACCTTCGTCGACAGGGTGCGGAGAGCAGTAGCCCACCACCTCCAGGACGTGCCAGACAACCTGATACCTGACGTGCTTCTGAAGTACCAAGATTATAGACGGTGTGTGTTTCAATGGCAATGAAGCATTTCCAAGTTCGAGCTAGAAGCAGCGCATGGTCGTTCTCCCAGACATGAGCGTCGTCTTCTCTGCTAACCAGTCGGTCCACCAATCTCAGCACTTCCAAGTAGACTTCCCAGCCAACGTCGGCGACCACACCCCAGTCTTTGAAGAAGCCCAGGACGTTCTTGTCCGGGTAGTGCTCCCGGACGGTTCGCACAGAAACACTCTGTGCAACAAGCCTGACCATCTCATTCGTGACACGACGACCACGTCGCTGATCGTCACTGAGGAGGCACGACATGTCTCGAATAACGACTTCTTCTGAAGTGAAGAATCTACCTGTCTCCTTGTCGGTCGGATTGAGGCTCCCGCATCGCTGGTCGGGCAAGAAAATCCAAGGCATGTGAAGCAAATACTCACGTACCTCAAGACTCTCTTGCGATGGCTCGTCTTCTTGATCTGGACGTGGGGCCCAAATACGTTCTTTATAGCAAGCCAGGGACAAATCTTTGTACACCGAAGCCATCTCTCCTGTGCTCCAGGCTGCTGCCGGTAATGCTGCATGGTAGCTCAAGGTGCGGACGATGATGTTGGCTTTGGGTGATCTTGCCAGGTGGAGGCAGGGCCAGGAATCAAGCAGGACCTCGGTAGCCCTGTGGAAGCAGCTACTCGCTAAAAATCTGCTCTCCCGCACCCTGTCATCACTTCTCGAAACTGGAACCCACCCATCGTGTGGAGCCAACAGTCTTTCGCCGGTCCATGACGGCATCCACGCGGTCTTGAACAGCATGCTAGCAAGAGGTGCTTCTGATGTATTTTTGAAGTATTTGGCATAGAAGGATCCATGTGGAGCTAGCCAGGCCACCAATTCCAAAGCCGCCTTTTGTGCACAGGCTGGTGTCGCCTGCATTCGTTTCAAAGCGAGCATGACGCAGTTGAGGTCGCGGCTCTGACTCGAGGCTGTTAGAGTTGATGGTTCATCCGTCTCCACACTGAAGGCTGGCCAGCACCCCAAATCCTGCCAAAAGGCACCCCATGAAAACGCTGGAGAAGGATCTTCAACTGCATGAGCGTAGTACAGCTGACTTGCAGTCAACCACTCGCGCCCAGCCAAAAAGGCAGTGAAGGACTCAGGCAAATGTGAGATGTGCACAACGTCTTGGGACGGTCGGACTGGCCTTGTGCTGCTCAGCCCTCTGGCATCAACCACATCGACAGCAACCCACATCTTCTCTTGCAAGGTATCGGTGATCACCTTTCTCTGATCCTTGTTCATGGATGCAAGGATTCCTCGTGCACTTCGTGTGGCATTGACCAATGTATGAATGCTTGCGGCAGTGTCAGCTGTGAGCATTGGTACCAGGACTTCCCGCAAAAACCTGGGGCCATCGGTCTGTTGCAGCCCTAAGACATTGAACAGCGACTTCACTTTGTCGTGCATATCCTGTCGAAAACGCAGATTCAAGCCTTCTGCGTATCCCCTCAATGTCTTGGCCATCGCCTCGTCCACGATGTACACCTTGCTTTCCGCGGAGCAAAGTCTCCCACTTTCGGTCGGAATGGCTGCCAAACCACGGAGGTTCTCAAATAGAGCTTTCGGCATAGTGCCGAGTTCACAGGCCATGACATGAAACAGGACGTGAAGCAAGCCAAGGTCGGATTCCGACCGCAGTCTGGCACCGGCATCTACACGGGACAAGCAGTCCAAACACTGGAATGCGACGGTAGCACTGAGATGTTGGATGCTCAGATTCTCGGCGGCGGCCAAGCTGCTGCTCAACTCCTCCACCGGTATGTAATGGCCACGCTGATTCAATACCACCTCTAATGTCCGCTTGACATCATCATTTAAATGCGCATCCACACTTTTCGGCAGCTCAGGGCGAACAACCTCACCAGGTGACACTAGTTTGTGGCGACCTTTGTCTTGCACCAAGATGAAATTCTTTTTCATGAGCAACTGAAGAATAGACTTGGGAATGTCCGCAAAAAACTCCCTGGCTTCCCCAACAAGTGGGATGAGTGAATAGATCCTCTTGAAGGCCTTCCTGCGCGGTTGAACCTGTGAGATCTTCAACGCGCTCGCGGCCAGCTCCTCGATCAAGTTGCAGAAGATGTCTGGGAGATGCCGCCTAGCCCAGGACAGGGAATAAGAGTCTACCACCTTTGACCGTTCCTCACCATGGGTAGAACCGAGACTACATGCGCCTTCCTTTCGTCAAGTCTGCTCTGCAACTGCGAACCTCCAAACTCTAAGCCCTTCAAACCCCAAATCCCCGCAGCCTTAAGGTCTGGTTGAGCGGGCTCTCTGCCAGGATGGCTTCGCGAGACGAGGGCACGGCCCAGTCTGCTTGAATGATGAATCGAAACCTGGGCATTGGATTCTGCTGGGCATGTATGCAGTTTGCCGGCTCTGAAACCCTCGGCACAGGACTTTGAAACCCCCCAGACGTGCCAAAAGTCGTCTGCGAATGGCTCGACATTGACCCTACATCTCGGTTAACTAAATTTCCCGGAAAAAATCTTTAAGTGTGCCGGCTTCTGTCTCACTTCGCCGATTCCGAAGGTTCCACCGAAAGACAACCGACGATGCACACACAGCCTTGCAATCATGCATTGACCCGAAACCCCGAACCGAAACAACAGCAACTAAGCCAACACGCAGCTGCAATTACCTTCGCAGNNCCCCCCCCCCCCCCCCCCCCCATTCAGGCTCACTCCTTGAAGACCAGCAGCCCATAAGATCGGAGTGGCAACCACGCGAATGCTGGTTGCTGCTCCATGGGATTCCTGATAGAACCGGTCAAGCAGTCAGGCGGGTAATGTAGGGGCCTTTATAATCAGAATAGGGTTTTGGGGATTTAGAAAAGGAACCTCTAAAATAGTATAGAATAGGTGGTTGTAAGGCACCTTTTTTAAGTTCCTGAATTGGAGTCCCTATCGGGTCCAAACGGGGCCCTGCCTGAAGAGAACTACTCATCTCCAGGTGCAAGAAGCCTGCTGTACAAGAAAGGTGAGGCTGCCATGCCACAAGGCCCGACAGAGCGGGAATCTTTCTGTCCAAGATTCGCAGTCGTCTGGCAGAAAGCAATTTGCATCTCCGTAGTCCTCGCAGTATACGCCCGGCGCTGCTTTGCAAGTGTAAACGTCGAGGACATGAAGAGCGATTACGAGTGCTAACTGTGGGCGGTTGCCGGGAAGGTTGGTGAACCTGCCATGCGCTTTTCAATGGCGAACAACGAGACATAAAGGGGGTCCTTCTGACTTCACGCCGAGTCTACTTCTTTACAGAGCAGCCCAATCACGATTCACGATCCAGCTAAGGTGAGATTACCTCTGGAATCCGTCCTCTGTCCGTCTGTCACCCTGGGCAATGTCACGGGACTTCCTCAGAAACAGGTGGAGCAGTGCTGTGAGGCCCCGGGCCTTGGGGGAGCCACCTTGAATGTGCACAGTTACCGACCCAAAACCCTAAATTATGCACACATGAAACTGGACGTTGTAACGCGGGAGGGACAGAAGAGATGGAGAGACAGACAGAGAAGCCGAGAGGAAGATACGGAGATAAATTAACACACCCTGGACAAAGACTGAAACGGTCCAAGGTCCATGGTCCATGCGTCACAACAGAACAAGGCAAACGCGATCATCATCTATTGCACAGCGCCAGTCGCCAACGCCGTTGCCTAGAGGGATCCTCGACACCAGGTCCCAGAATTTGATATCATGCCTTTTTAGGTGGATGTCGGGGGGACCTGAAACCAAATCGAGGCCCTGAGTCTTTAAGTCTTTCCGTGAAAGAAACGACCGACAGCAACGGCAATACCCAGGAGCCTTCCAAGGCGTGAACACTCTCTATCTTGATTTCTCTGGACAAAGCAATCCACCCGATCGTGGTGGTGACTGTTTATGGAGTTGGCCCATTGAACTCACCTGACAGAAGCTACCTCGCGAAAGAGAACAAAGACATCATGGATCCGCCTCTCAATGACGCTGCACAGGTCAAAAACGCATTGAACCACCGGACACAGCACCCTGCAGTAGCCACCGGCGAGCGTGGAACCAGGACTTGAAGTAACAAAAATATATCAGAAACCCTACGTAAACATCGTCATCGCCCAGTCTCTGCACACATGCCACTCCTGCGCTTCCGTTTCCTCGCTGCCCTCTGGCTTCAATGGAGTGGTGCACACACAGAGCTTCACCTGGGGTTTCAGATCAGGGAAGCTTCGCTTTCTGCACAGAGGAAACCATCTGCTGGTATTATCTTTCATTTTGCGAAACTCCCTACATGCACGCACACACACGCACACATAGACATGCACGTGCTCACGGCTCTACTCAAACATGCTGATGGCATGAAGTGAGAGAGAGAGAGAGAGAGAGAGAGAGAAAGAGAGAGAGAGAAAGAGAAAGAGAGAGAGAGAGAGAGAGATGAGAGACGGGAGACAGAGGAGTGCGCATGGCATGTATATAGTTCTGCCATGTTTCGCAAGTGAATCGCTGCGTGCGTGTACATGCCTCTTTGATCCTCTTCGCATGCAAAGGTACGTGCACACATGCAAGACCGAACACTGGTTCAAATCGAGAAGTGGGCAATGCGCTTGCGACTTGAACACTCGTGGATGCAGGTTTTCATCCTGTAAAAATCTCTCTGATCTTGAGCTAGTCGCATGATGACTTCTCGAGCTGTCCAGCTCTTTTCGGATGGTCCGCTGCAGCTGCGCCTGGCTGTCCAACACCTTGATCTCCTCTGAGCAGGGTTTAGGGTTTTAGGGTTTTAGGGTTTTAGGGATTCAGGGTTTAGGGTTTTAGGGTTTGGGATTTAGGGTTTTAGGGTTTTAGGTTTTTTGGGTTTTGGGTCCCAGGGTTTAGGGTTTAGGGTTTTAGGTTTTTAGGGTTTAGGGTCCCAGGGTTTAGGGTTTAGGGTTTTTGGTTTTTAGGGTTTTGGGTCCCAGGGTTTAGCTTTTAGGGTTTTAGGTTTTTAGGGTTTTGGGTCCCAGGGTTTAGCTTTTGGGGTTTTAGGGTTTTAGGTTTTTATGGTTTTGGGTCCCAGGGTTTAGGGTTTAGGGTCTTAGGGTTTTAGGTCTTTAGGGTTTTGGGTCCCAGGGTTTAGGGTTTTAGGGTTTTAGGTTTTTAGGGTTTGGGTCCCAGGGTTTAGGGTTTAGGATTTTGGGGTTTTGGGTTTTTAGGGTTTTGGGTCCCAGGGTTTAGGGTTTCGACTCTCACACTCGCACGCGCAGGCAAGGCTCCTCATGGTAGGGTTTTGGGGTTTTAGGTTTTTAGGGTTTTGGGTCCCAGGGTTTAGGGTTTAGGGTTTTAGGGTTTTAGGTTTTTAGGGTTTTGGGTCCCGGGGTTTAGGGTTTTAGGTTTTTAGGGTTTTGGGTCCCAGGGTTTAGGGCTTTAGGTTTTTAGGGTTTTAGGTTTTTAGGGTTTTGGGGCTTTAGGGTTTAGGGTCCCAGGGTTGAGGGTTTAGGGCTTAGGGACCCATCATCAGCACCATCATTCCCGGGCCTGGAACCTGCAAGGGCGCTTCAGCGGAGGAGGCACCAGTTACAACACAAAAAACCTCCGGACCTGCCAAAGGCGTGCCCGCGGCCTGCCTCCAACTTCCTCAAGAAGAGCAGCAGCTCGGGCTTGAGATCCTCCAAGTGTTTTTAGTTGCCCTCGGAGAGATCTCTAGTTCCACGGCACGATCTGCGAAGAGGTCTTGCAAGGATCATACAACTTGGATTATGTAAATCTACGTCGAGTAGCAAGGGGCCTGCCGCCGATGCAGATATCTAACATACGGGCAGCATGTCTTGGGGCTGCATCGGCTACAAGCTTCATGTGCTTTACTCGGCCTTTCCCCTGTTGCCTAATACGTGATCCAGCTTCACCGAATACCTCGCCAGGAGCCAGTGAAACTGGAACGTACATGCAGCTACGCACAGAATCGCTCGGTTGGGCGATCTCTGTGTAGTACACCAATGTGGCCGGCACTCTCACCCAAGTGTAATTACCAGTCGCACGGCCTCCACAATGCGACAGCACATGTCCGTCTTGCCCTGATCGTAGAGCGGAAGGACCTGGCAGCAGCTTGAGTTGCTAAGTTCCACACAACTTGAAAATTATTCTGTTGACGCCATTCCCAACCACGGCCGTCAATAGGCGAAGGCGTCCAACCTCACACCCTATCTGCACACTCGGAAGATGTCGGTACTTTCATCATTTCCTTTTGAATCTATCCCAACTCCTTGCCAACTCCTCGGCTAACCTGACATGTCAAAATGGGGACGCGAACGACATGCAGAACACTGCATCCGAACATGACAAGACCGTAACGAACAACTCTGGTGGTCCCGAATTCATCAACTCCAACTTAAGATCTCTACCAGTAGCACCCAGCACCGAACACGGAAAGGCCGAGGCACCAAGCGGGTTCCAGTGTTGAACTTCGGCGGCCGCGTAAGTGGGAAAGGGATCCTCTAGCTTTCCAGCCAGAGGGCTGATGTTTTAGGAAGTATAGGGTGTAGAAGCACTCACGACTGGGACTTAGGGTTTCGACTGGTTGCTTGCCGGTTTGTGGTCTCCCTTTCTCACTGCTGCGAAATTCCTCGGCTGGGAGGAGCCTGTTGAAGGTGATTTAGGGCTTGAGGCAAGGATTGTATTGGGTGTTTGGAAGGGTCGTCTGCGGATTTTCGTTCCTGATTGGCAGCAACTCCACAACTGAAATGGCCGAACACATTTCGGATTGCTGGAACTCTCGCAGGACCTCGGTTTCTTTTGATGCTGGGGAAACTTTCACGATTGATACCTTTCCACTCAGTAGCTGATGAGGAGCTAGCTTCGCACAAGCATTTAAAAGCCACGAAGCCATGGCCTACCAGCTAGCATGAAGCAGTGGACAGTACAAGACTCTGGTCCAAACGATGCCAAGGCTCAGGTAGCCGAGTCCATCCAGGGCAGCCGAGTCGAAATGGAAATGAAAAGGCCCCGAATGAACGATTGGTGTAGAAGTTGCGCAGAAGACAGATTTGAAGCCAATACCTGTGCTGCTTCTGTCGCACAACCACTTGCTATTACTTGGTGTGTTGGAGTTAGTGCATGCCGATCCTCACCAGCACCATCCTTCCTCTCCTCTCCTACTGATGTGAAGATGGACTTTGCTGAATGATACGGGGATGCTGACGAACTTGAACTATAATCTGCACAGTGTCATAAAGTGCTGCTGCTGCTGCTGCCGCTGCTTTTCACGAGTACTCAGACCTCTACTTGCATGCATTGCTGAGTGTGTCGAACACTTTCTTACCACATCCCTTGCTGTAGTTGCCCTTGGTCGACACCGGCTACGTGCAAGTGAATCTAGGCCCTGCAGTATCTACACTACGTCTTAGTCTACGTAACTCCTGCTGCGTGCTGACGCGCAGTAACCAGTAACCTTCATGCTGGAGGGATATGACCATGACAATAGTGGTGGTGGTAGCTGGTAGCTGGCAAATGAACACGCTGATGGTGGCGATGGTGATAGTGATGGTCGTGGTGAGCACGCGAATGACCATGAAGATGCGATGGCGGTGGTGATGACACAGCAGCAGTAGCAGTAGCAGTAG